TGAAACAGCACAGCGGTGTAGACCGCATCAGATCCAGTCTCCCCGAGCACACCTGTTGGCTACGGCCCCACCCACTAGCAGAGGATTTCCGTGTTTCCTGTTTCTGTTCTACTCTCCAACGCTGGTCTCCACAAGACATGCTTCACCGGCTCTGTCTCCGATGGCCCATCCCGGGTCCCATCGGCAGCAGGCCACCCTTGGACGGCATGGTCAAGACCAAGCTTGCTGGTCTGCTCAAACCAGTGTCCTCTGAGCCACAGCCAAGCAAACATTTTAAACACTGAGTGAATGAAATTTCAAAGGGACAGCAAATACTTCAAAACTATGAAAAAACAACATGTAGATAAAGTGTAAGTGATGAAGAAGTAAGAAGTGGACCTCGTGTTCACATCCCCGACAGGATGGCCCGGAAATTACAAGTGTACCAGTCAGGCAGAGCTCGAGGATGTAAGGACAGTAACCGAAAGTGAGCTCGTTCTGAACGTGCACCAAGAATTTGCTGTGAGGGGCGCCTGGCCGGCTCAGTCGGGAGAGCGTGCGACTCTCGATCTCGGGGTTGTGAGTTTGAGCCCCACATTGGGGGGGTAGAGATTATTTAAAAAAATTAAAATTTAAAAGAAAAAAGAAAAAATTCGAGGCGGACACTGTGTGGCTCAAAAACAAAGAGTAAATACTTCAGAGGCATCTCAGAAGGCCCAGGGATTAAACATTCCCAATGCTATCTGTGGAAATGAAGAAACAATGAAAATATTTGGGGCAGATACCAAAACCTTTTGAGAGTAATCTACTGAGAATGTAGAAGCCCAGTGACGATTGACCCCACAGTGAAGGAGGTCGCCTTGTTAAGCCTGTGGAGCGGGGGGCTGAATGTCATCCGTGCAGTAGAGCAAATCCCCCGTGCAGGCGGAGGGCGCGCTCACAACGGTGCGTGGACATAAGCAAGTCCTGCCTGGATGCGAGATGACACCCTCAACCAACGTGCATAAGTCTGACACGTGGGTCCCCACGAACACGCTCAGCGATGTTCCCATCTGCAGATGGACCACAGGTGACGACATGTTCACACCACAGGAAGTATGAGCTCTTGAATCTACCACTCCGTTGAACTTTTTAACTCATCTTTACCTGGTGTTGGAGGACTTCGTGAAAACTCACCAAGCCTAATAAGAGACAAGTATCATTCTTCTGTTCCAGACCTTTCTGTCTGTAAACACTTGCCTTTGTCCACTCTGTGTGATCTGGATGAATCGCAGCCCTCCGCTTGGCACAGAAGGGGAGACTTCCACAGCATCGGGTCAGACCCGACAGCACCCAGCTGTGATTCAGGATCTGCACAAGCACTCCCTGACCCTTCTAGCCTAGAGCTCTGCCCAACTGGCATGCATGTTCAGTTGACATAAAAAGGGATCATCAATACAAAACAACCGCTTGCCTCGTTTCGGGAGAGGATAAGACTATAGAATCCAAAACAATGACCTTGTGTGCCCTAGGAAGGAGGACATAGGCCTTAAAGAACTGTGTGCAGAAATTTGCCTTCCGTTTCATGTTTTTCTCCTTTTGGGACACCTATAATTTTTGAGTAATAACTGAAGTGTTAATTAATTCACTGTCGACTGTTTGCTGAGGCCTCAAAGCACAAACATGGCACAAAATCTCACTGCAGCGGAAGAAAGAAAGTGCAGTTAAGAATGTGCTGATTAAGTATCCAAGAAAACCCAGCATGCACCAGCACAGAATTTGGAATCACACCAAAATCTGTATTTCCTTTGTGTCTCACTTGGTTTAAATTGCTGCAGACCATGTATTTGCAAATGATGAATGAGGATGAAATGGAATGGGTACAAAATGCAGTGTAGATTCTTCAAGGAGATTTAGCCGATGAGTCATGCGGCAGGTGCTTGCTACCTCGGGCTCTGACGTGTGCACTGACGCTCCCACCCCTGACCGACCACGGTGCTTCTGGAAGCACGGCAGCCCTCACCAAAGAAGAGCTGGGAAGCAGTACAGATCGGGGGTTATAATCCTCAGGACCAGGAGGATTTTCCATCCCGAGCTCCGGTCTTCATGAGGAGGCCTGCACATGGGTGGGCTGAAGGGAGGTCAGTGTTGGGAGTCAGACTGCTGATTTGTTCTCCACGGTTCTTGACAGCAGCAGTTTGGGGGCCTGTCATGGGCTGCAGGCTGCTGGGATCAGATCTCAGAACGGGGGCCAGACTCGGAACTCCAGAGAGGTCCTCAGCCAGAGGTCCTTGAAGGACAGAACCCATTTCTCTCTACTCGTGCCAACACTTCTGACACCAGATGCGCGCATTTTCCACACCAACAAATTCTTCACTTCCCAGGAGACACCAGCTTGGTGTCCTACGATTCACCTTAGTTCTGGCACTAACCACCTAGCGTTGGCCCAGACCCAGACTCAGTCCCACCTCCCAGGGTATCACCTGTGATTCCAACCAACCAGCTATAAATCCGGAGTTTCCAAGACCCCTTCTTTGGGTCTGATAATATGCTAAAACAGCTCACAGAACTCAGGAAACCATTTTACTTACTATTACCAGTTTATTACAAAGGATATTTTAAAGGATACAGATGAAGAGGTGCATAGGGTGAGTTCTGAAGGGATCCCCTTGGAATTTGGGATACACCACCCTCCCGGCACATGGATGCATTTTTGTTCATCAACCCGGAAACTCTCCAAACCCTGCTGTACAGGGCTTTTATGAAGGTCCCACTCCTTAGGCATGCTCCATTAAATCACTCCAGCCCTCTCCCCTCCCTGGAGGTCAGAGGTAGGGCTGAACTGTACCACCCTCTGTCCCATGGCTGGTTCCCACATCAGCGCAAAGACCAGGGAAGGTTGGTCAGGGGTTGAGGATGTAAAAGCATCCAGCCACGTCCAGAAGGGCTGCATCTCCTGGAACCCCAGCACCCTATACTGAGGGTACCACCTGACTTCTCAGGCCCCAACAGTGTGGCTGGGTGGGCGGTGCCTCCGTGACCACAGCAGCTGGGGGCGGCTTCCCTGTCTTCCACACCTTCCTGCTCCTGGTCCCTCCCATCGCAGCCAGCAGCCCCCAGCACCTACCTTCCTGGGGTGCAGGCTGAACAGGGAGCACTTGAGACCAGGCCTTGACCCGCAGCAGGGCTGGGGCTGTGGAATCCAGGGTGCAGAACCAGGAAGTCTGTGTCTCACAAACCATGTGACACGAAACCCCCATCCCCAGACTTGGGACAGGAACTGGGTGGACACGGCCCAGCCCACATGGCCCGCCTCCCCTTCCCATGTCCCTGTGCCCCCAGCCCCCTCCCTGGCCCACTGAGGCTCCTCTTCCCCCTTCCCATCCTGGAGAAAACCCAGAGCTCTTAGGACCCAGGGGTTTTGGTTCCTCTGAATTAATAGACTTATTTTTAGAGCAGCGTTAAGTTTACAGAAAGGTTAAAAGGTAAGTACAGCAAGTTCCCTTGGACTCCCCCCTCCCCCCATCTCCCCAGACAGTTTCCCCTAACCCCAAACTGATGTCAGTGCCGTGCATTCAGTATAACGGATGGACGAGTGTTGGCAGCGTCCACATCAGGCCTCACACACTGTCTGTGCACCTCCAGCAAAGGTATCATGACATCAGCTCGGCAGGCAAAACAGTCTCCCTGCCCTGAATCCTCTGTGCTCTGCAGATTCGGTCCTGCCCCGCTCCCCAGGTCTCGGGATTTAATGTAAGCAGCAAAGTAAAGAGAGAGGCCGGGCAGAATGAACAAACCCAGCAGAACTATTTATAAGTGGTCTCCAGGGGCCCTGGCGTCCGCAGGTGTGGACGCCAGTCTCTCTCTGGGTACCGTCCTGCTGGAAGCTGCCTCTCCAGTATCTGGCTGTCTTCCCCTTCCCTGTGAACCGAGAGCCGCCTAACAAGGCGCTCTGCACTGCAGCCTGCTCTCCCACTCCTTCCGTACTTTCTCACCCTTCTGGAAGGCCAGCCTGAGCATCAAAAGTGCAGCCAGGATGGGGCTGCGTGGCTCAGTTGGTAGAGCATGTGACTCTTGATCTTGGGGTTGTGAATTCAAGTCCCATATTGGGCATGGTGCCTACTTAGATAGATAGTTGGATAGATGGGTGGATGGATGGATGGATGGATGGATGGATGGATGGATGGATGGATAGATGGATGGACAGGTGGGTGGATGGACAGATGGGTGGATGGATGGATGGACAGATGGGTGGATGGATGGATGGATAAGTGGATGGGTGGGTGGATGGATGGATGGAAGTATAGATGGATGGATAGATGGATAGGTAGGTGGGTGGATGGATAGATGGATTGGATGGGTGGATGGAGGGATGGATAGGTAGGTGGGTGGATGGATGTTGGATAGATGGATGGATGGATGGAGGATGGATGGATGGATGGATGATGGATGGAAGGATGGATGATGGATAGATGGATGGATGATGGATGGATGGATGGGTCGATGGATGGATGATGGATGGATGGATGGATGGATGGATAGGTAGGTGGGTGGATGGATAGATGGATGGATGGAGGATGGATGGATGGATGGATGGATGGATGGATGGATAGGTAGATGGGTGGATGGATGATGGATAGATGGATGGATGGAGGATGGATGGATGGATGGATAGGTGGATGGGGGGATGGGGGGATGGGGGGATGGATGGATGGATGGATGGATGGATACATGCACACATGCAGCCGGGCTGTGATGGGCCTCCAGCTTCCCCCTCCAGGTTTCCAGGCACCCCCCCACACCTGCAGCAGGAAGCTTCCAGCCTACCCCACCCCTGCCTCTGGCCCTGTCACAGGCCTGCAGGGCTGAATGTGGCTTCTGTGGGCTGTGAGGCAGGTGAGCAGGGGCCCCTTCCCACAGGAAGAAGGCATCGGGAGCTGCTCTGGCATCCCCCAGACCCTCACACTGCTGTGCCAGAAACTCAGAGGTAATGAAACTAGGGGTTTGTCCTGATGCTCGTGTGTGCTTTGCCCTCGGGACAGGTGCTGGCATCGACGGAGTGGAGGAGATCAAGCGGCATCCTTTCTTTGTGACCATAGACTGGAATGTAAGTCGTACAGCACGGGGCCCACCACACATGGGTGACAGGGAGGTGAGGTGGAGGGCGCACCAGCTTGGTACAGACCAGAGGGGAACGTGGCCCTGTCCCCTGAAGGGGTGCCCTCTCTCAGGAGCCTTCTGAACAGGCTGCCATTTTACAGGCACAGACCAGGGACCACCTTCCTGCAGCGCCAGGCCTGAGAGCCCTTTAACACTTGGCCCTTGAGAGGCAGGTTCCGATGACCCTGCAGCCACTCCCACCGCTGAGGACAGAGCAGGGATCTCCTTCTGCTCAGCAAGAGGCTGCAGAAGCCCCTCAGGTCTCCAGGCCCTGTGGGTCTCCAGGCCTCGTGGTTGCTGGGCCGCTGGGTCTCTGGGTCTCTGGGCCCCTGTGGGTCTCCAGGCCGCGGGGTTGCTGGGCCGCTGGGCCACCTGGTCTCTGGGTCTGCAGGCCCCTGGGGTTCCCCAGGCTGCCGGGCCAGGCTGTGCAGGCCTCTTCCGTGTTGAAGGGCTGCGGCTCACACTCTGTGCTGCTCTCCCAGCCTCTGGTTTCAGGCTCAGGCCCACCCAGCTGCCACTCTCATAGAGTCGTTAAAGAAAACAAACATCCAGACTGTTAAAGACAAAGTTATTGGTGACACTCATTAGCGACGTAAGGAAGACCTCCATGGTGATGAGTTCAAGGACCACGAGGACAGGGCCTGCGGTCGGCGGAGAGATGCGGCTCAACTCTGAGCAGCTGGGGGCGGTGGGATTAATAGTGGGGTGGGGGTTGTGGATGGAAAACCACTGGGAGGAAACACGGGGGTGAGGGGCTCTGGCTGAAGCGACCTCACAGGACTTCTGCCGGACACAGGCCTGGGGTCCAGACATCACCTGGTGCAGGGAGGGCCCGTCACATGTCGAGCCTCGGGCCCCAGTTCTCCAGGCTGATGCCACGCTGCCGCTTGGAGCTGGACGCTGGCTGAGGGGCCCCCGAATCTCATTCGGACCCGCCGCTCGGAGCCGGCCCGTCAGCATGGGGAGCAGCCGAAGCTGGGCTTCGTGTGCCAGGAGGACGTCCCTCTTCGGATGCCAGTGTCCTCCGGTCCTTTCCTGATGTGCACACAGCAGGCATGCTCGGGGCGGGGGGGGCGGGGGCTCTGTTCCCTGAGCTGACAAATTAGCCTCAGGAGACTCTAACAGAAGATAGGTGTATATTACATTAATGTCCTCTCTAGGACCGAGGCTGTTAGCGGTGTTTGCCTTGCTCCCTGTCTTCGTCCTGTCACCTCCGTGGGTTCCAGCAGCGGGGGCGCCGTGGCAGCCCGCCCCCAGCCCCCAGGGTTATGACCTCTTCTGACAAGGTGCTGACACAAATGCTGGATGGAGCCAGCTGTTCCTGGAGCTTCTGACCTTACCCTCCTCTCTCTTCCTCTTCTGAAAGTCGACCCACTGGGAGAGCACCAGCTTCCTTAAAACCCGCTTCTGTAGTTCTGATTATGCAGCTTTTATGGGGTTAGGATTCTTTTCAACACTGAGACTACAGAGAAGCACACGAGATGCTGGCACACCTGTGACCTACCCCCCAGGTGCCCCTGTGACCTCCTTGCCAGGTGTCCCTGTGACCTCCCTGCCAGGTGCACGTGTGACCTCCCTGCCAGGTGCACCCGTGACCTCCCACCAGGTGCCCCTGTGACCTCCCCGCCAGGTGCCCCTGTGACCTCCCTGCCAGGTGCACCTGTGACCTCCCGCCAGGTGCACTGATGACCTCCCCGCCAGGTGCACCTGTGACCTCCCACCAGGTGCACTGGTGACCTCCCCAGCAGGTGCACAAGCCTGGTTAAAGGACCAGGTCAACATCAGCTTGCGTTCAGGAAAGTGGACGGTGGAAGCAAAGTGCTTGCCCGTGAAATCTCTTTTTCCTTAGCTTCCTGGAACGTAGACTTATAAGGAGCTCGGTCATCCTCAACTCACAGATGGGCACCTGGAGATCTTTCTCGGTCGATTATTTCTGCGTTCCATCCAGCACGGAAGCTCCGCTGTGCCTGTGGTGATGAGGCCTCAGGCCAGCCGGCTGCGTCCTAGCCCTGGAGGGCCAGCATGGCGCCGCAGGCAGGAGCCTCAGAAGCTGACCCCTGGGGGCACGGCCCCTGGTGCCCCGACGGGCGCTCTGCCGCGGGTCATCCTCTCCCTCCCACAGACTTCAGGGTAGAACCGCACGCCCCCTTCTGTTATCACTCGCTGTTCCCTGTGTTCAGCCATGCTGTTGACCATGTTTCAGGTGCTTCCAGAACACGGACACAGAGCAGTGGCCGTGACACCCCGGGCTTTACAGCCTGGTCGGGAGGACGAGGCAGGAATCGGAGGCTGTGCCCTAAGTCACAGAGAGAAAGCGGCACCGTGAAGAGAGCCGCTGAGGGGAGGGGTGGGGCATCGGAGCCGAGCCCCTCACCTGCCCCTCCCACCCCCACACTGGCCTCTCCACGCACCTGTCTGCCGAGCACATCGGCCCTCCTGGCCCCGAGTGCCCCTGTGACTCACTTATGTCCTCCTCCTTATGGCTTTTCTGAAAAGCCAGTTCCTCGCTAATGTCTGTCCCAACACTTCCCAACCGCAGCTCCTCGCGCAGTGCCCTGACTCCCCTGACCTTGCTGCATCCCTGGCTCCTCGTCACCGTCCAGTGTCTGGCATCACATCCCTTATTCATGGTGCTGATTAGGAGTCTCCGTCCCCTGCTACTGGAATGGAAGCCTCAAGAGGTCAGGAGTCACTGTCAATGTTGGGTAGAGACGTCCCCCGGGCCTCTGAGACAGCCGGGCTCAGAGGAGGCCCCTGACAAACAGTGAATGAGCGAGGGAGCAAGAGAGTGAACGGGACAGGCTCTCAGGGCAGGAACCCACTTCTCTCCCTCTCTCTCCGGGGTACACAGCCCCCGCCGCCGGCAGAGATGAGGAAACAGGAGAACAGGGATGGCTGGGGCCGGAGATGGGGCCGGACCGTGTGGGATGGGAGGTCCTCAGGCTGCAGCTGGGAGGAAAGGGGAGGCCCGGCCTCACGGCTCTGGATACCACTCAACACAGCAGCTTGGCTTGAAGGATCCGCTTGCAAGTTGCTGCAGACAGATGCTTCTCTCATCCAAGAAGGGGCGCCCCCCAAAGAAGTGGGCATGTGGAGGAAAAGCCAAGACAGCTTTGTGAAACGGTTGGAATTTTCACAGCACGATGATGACCTTGAACACTATGCAGGTTGGGCTCACTAACATGTCTCCTGAAAAGCCCAGGTCCGCAGGAGCTCTGAGCAGAAGCCCGGCTTCTTTCTGCAGGCATTAGGAGCCACCCGGTGAGAGTCCAGCGGGGAGACCAGCCCCAGTGTGCACAGCTCGTCCCGTCTCTGCATCTAGGGCCAGGTTCCTGCCAGGGCAAACACGGTCACTGGATGTCTGCACCAAGAAGGTGGCATGCTGTATTATTTCAAAGTAATCAGACTAAAATTGAGGTTGGGAAGTTTCTTTTGTTGCTTTTAGCATTTAATTCCCTTTTGTTTCTGAGAGAGGCCCTTCAGATTCATGGGGACCAAGCGTATGTAACTGTCGCTTCTGTATTTGCCCGAGGATGACGAGGCAGGGAGAGAGGGTTGGAAGGATCTCATTCCATCCCAAGCCCTGAATGAAAGCAGCCAGGGAGTGGTTAAGGGAGAGGAGCTCTGAGTCACCACTTTTGTGCAAATTCATTTATTTCGTAAATAGTATTTGGCGCTTGTCCATGTCCAGGTGAGCAAGCTGGCTGTCCATGCTATGGCAACGGAACACACAGCTGTCCTCAGGTTGCTCCACGGCTGCATGAAATGTCTTGTCCAGCCACAGAAGAGGTATGCAGCGTGGCTGTCCCGTCAGAGACCCGACACAGGCAGGAGCTGGTAGGTGAGGTGACATACTCCCAGCAAAGCTCTCCTCGGGACCACAGCCTTCTCAGCTGCGGCAGGCCTTCCCTGGAACCAGACGAGTGACCCCCATGTCCACCCTCCCTACCCAGCCGTGAGCTGTGGTCAGCCTTGGCCCCCACTCACACACCGAGCAAACGGCAGGCCCACGCTTGAGAAAGCAGACGTGAAATGCGAGGCACTGACCGGCATCCAGTGCGTAATGTTACCAAACCCCTGTCCAGACGTGCCCATTCTGTTTCAGCAGCTTAGATAAGAAAACCACAGCACAGTAGCATTTGCAAAAACTATGAATACCGGAAGGCATTCCCTCTGCCCTGCTGATGCTCAGGACGACCCCATGAAGCCATTTCCCTGACCCAGCACGAACCCAGTGCCTGCCTGCCTCGGGATCCACCCTGGAAAATAGAAGGATATTTATTTCACTTTCTGCTTCCCTCTGTGGCCCAAAACTGCCAGGAGAAATTTTCAGGTGACCTGCTGGAGCGGAATGAGTCCATCAGAGTGGATGTGGGCTCACTGCCCCCGTCTGTCCTGCTCTGTCATTAACTTGTCTGCAAAGCCGAGCAAATAAAGGGCCGCTGAGGAGCGGTTCTTCCTGAAAGCTGCTCTGTCTCATGAGCCGAATGAAAAATTACAGTTACAGCCCTGAGGCCTTGGGAGAGGGTCACGGGGAGTCCTGCACATACACCACGTTTACTCTGCCCCGTCGCTGCATTAAAGTTCATCACCACAGGCCACGGGAACCTCCTCCCACGCCCCGAGGAAGACCTCCCGCCCAGCCTGGCGCCCCTCGCCGTGGGACCGACACCTGCTGAGCCAGGCTGGGACCTTCACTGTACCTGTTCAGGGCCCGTTATCGCGACGACTCCTATTAATGCTAGGAGCTTGTGCTTGAGTTGTTCTTTTTACATTTCTGAACCCTTCCAAGGGTACCCTCAGTGGTTACTCAGTGCTGTGGGAGGGACACCCAGGGAAACCAAGGCTTGGGGCAGTGAGAAAAGAGCCCAGGGTCCGTGGTGAACGGGCAGCATGTGCCAGAGCCCCCTCCCCTTGCCGGTCATGTGTACCAGCAGCAGCAGAGGGAAGTCTTGCCCACAAGACTGTGCAGAGTGGATTTTAGGGGTTCAGTTCCCAGGAGCGGTTGGCTGCTGGCCAGGATCTCAGCGCCTGTGTCAGTGGCTGAGGTAGCTCCTCCCACTGCCCAGTGGAAAGATTTCTATCCGTTTATTCCCACGTTGAATACACCAGCAGAACTTCTCCTTTCAAGGAGCCCAATAAGACTCTTCTTTCAGTGAATAACCGCTCCTCGGCTCTGCAGTGTTGTAAATCCAGATACTTTGGCTGGAACGGCTTTCAGCGGGGGGAACCTGTATAGACAGAGTCCTGCCACATGGACCACCGACCCATCAGGTCCCCCGGGTGCACTGGGGCCATTTGAATTCTCCCTGTTACCCCTGCCAGCCTGGCATCACTCCACATTATTTCTGCGTTGCTATTTCAGGAATAATCTATAGCAGTGCCATTTCCTAATTGGAGAATGTTAATTTTGAGATGCCTGGAGCCAAAGCTGCCTGCAGAAAGCAGATGTTAGGTCCGTGACCCCGAGCTAGAAGCAGCTTCCTATTGCATTCCCCAGTCACCATTCTCAGCGTGCCCCCTGGTTCTCCCCTTCGTCATCGGAAGGTCGTTTAGGTATAAATAGCCCTGGTGCACCTGCTCAGAGCCTCCTAGCGCATCCTGGCCTGATGTGTAATCTGTTCCCATGTGGCCACGACCTGTGTTATCCTAAGACCCTGGGGCAAGTGAGATGATTTAAAGTGCTGCCTGGTGAATTGGATCATCAGACCCCATTCTCTTTCCATCAGTGCGGGATGGATTGTTCTAGAGGCTCAGAGAGGGGAATCTAGGTCAGAATTATAATGCATCTCGTCAAGCTCAAAACCTACAAGAAATGCTGCCGCCAATCATTCTTGATTTAACCCTGTGTACAGCAGTTTACGTTATAAAATGAGAAGCAAGATTACTTTTTCCCTAAAACCTCAAACCCACTCCTAGGTTTGGACACAGAGAAAGAAAGCAGGTGTAATAATAACCCATTCCAAAAGCTGGTCAGGAGGAAACTGACCAACTTTAAGACTGCATAAGGGAGCTATCCAGAGCGTGGAGGGCACCAGGGTGCCTTATGCAGCCCTTTGCTACCTGCTGGAAACCAGGATGAAACCACAACGTCCTCAGGGACTGGGAGGGTGGTGTTCTGGGGCCACCCTTGCACAGGCTATGCTCGTGGGCAGATCAAGACCAGGGACCGGTGTTCTGAGGACGGAGGGGCCCGTGAGGGAACTCGCCCGCCAGCAAGCCCTTGTTGGGCTCTCCCACACTCTCCCTCCGGTCAGTTAGGATCTCCTTAGTGAGGCACAGGCTTCCAGAGGAGGTTTGAAAGCACAAGGAAAAGCAGGCGTCCACGTGCACAATGCCCAGTGAAGCTGGGGTCTTCATACGCCCTAAGCGTGCTGTATGATGGCTGGGTTCTGTGACCGGTCCAGGGGGCATGCGCCGGGCTGGGAGTGCAGTGGGAAAGAGGGAGTTGGGACTCTGCACCGGGCCAACAAGCATGAGCGTCCCGGGGCGGGAGAAGCCAGCAGGTACCACATCCCCGTTTGCTCCCTGAGTTATCACTAGATAGTTGAGTTGAAGGGGGCAGTAGTCTCCACCCAGATGAAGCGCACAGCCGCACCACTGCTGGGGGGCAGATGCCATTCTGATGCGTTCCTTCTCCTTATGGGTAAAGGTGCGGAAAGTGGGAGGCTCTGTCTCCCCAGGAGGTCAGCCTCCCGGCCTGCACCACTGTGCTTCTCTCGGGGGTGAGGAAGGAAGAAGTCTGGGGTAAAGCACGTGACCCCGGGAGTCAGCTTGGTCAGAGGAGGTGCCTGTGTTTTCTTGGGCTGCTTGGATTTGCAAAGCCTTGCTATCCTCCTCCGTGGGGAGGGAGGGGTAGAGGGATATGGCAGGACAAGGAGCAGACGTGGGCAGGTTTCTGCAGGGAGGGAAAGGGGGCTCGGGAAGTCACCTTGACCTCCCCGCCCTGCTTCTTATCAAAGCTGGTGTACATTATCCGGGTGGTGGGCGGACGGCAAGTGAGGCTCCTGGGGTGCCCCGAGCACACGGCAGAACGGTGAGCGGCGTCACGGCCGCTACCCGCCTCGAGTCCGCACGCACACCCAGTCGCCCCGCCCGTGCCTCCAGGTGCTGCTCCGTGTCCCGTCCTGGAACAAAACTGCTTCGGTGGAGAAGCCCGGAGTTCAGGGACGGTTTTGTCTGCAGCGGTAAGGCTGGGGGCAGGGCCTGGTCTCCTGTGCCCAGGGGTCCTGTGTTGGCGGAGCTGGGGCGAGCAGAGAGCGGAAATGTACGACCTTCAGCTCCAGGTGCAAACGCCTCGCCTCTCATTTGGATTAAGTGACAGCCAGCGCTGTGTGCATGTAAATAAATGTTCCTAAAGCAGGAGCCGTGGCTCTGTGGTAGCGATCTCCCTCCCCCCTCCCTCTCACTCCCTCTCCTCCCCACTCACTCCCCCAGGTAGCAAGAGAACACATGCCTGCCCAGGGAGAGGATGTGGGTTTTCCTTGAGCAGGACAGATACTGATTTAATAATGCAGCTCAAATACCACTGGAGCATCACCGGTGTGAGCAGAAAGGGTCTGAGCCCCGCAGGGCTGCGCCTGGGCCGTCGGTCTTGGTAACGACTAGCATCTTCATCAAGGTGCACGACTCGCTCGTCCTTATTTGATTTCCTCTGACAAGTGCATACATCAGGGAAGTTTATTCCCACCGCAGAATGCGTCACCGCGGAAAGTAGCATCTTTCTATTTCTGGAAAGAGCTTATGGAGTAAATCAATTCCTAATGAAATCGATTCACCCAGGGCAAAAAATGAGCAGATAATCGAGGGTAGACGTTTTCTTCTGGCGGCTCCCAGGTGCTCACCCCGAGCTCTGTCCTTGCACGCCTGCGGCTCTTTAAACCCGGGGGCCCAGCGGTCACCAGCCTGGACACAGCTATTGTTCTGTCACTCCTCCAGTTTTCCGTGGCCGCCTTGGCTTCTGGAAGGGTGTGCTCTCAGCAGGGATCGGAGCATCGCACCCTCCTGCCGCTGCTGGACCTTCTCTCACCAGGAGCGCTGCTCTAACGGGAAGAGTCAGGATGCCCAGGTCCTCCCCCGCCAGCCCTCGCTCACTCCTGACCTTGCACAACTCGCCCAACCTGTCTTAGCCCGGGTTTCCTCGTCTGTAAAGTCAGGGTGATAAAATCTGCTTTTCTGTGTTATGGAAAGATTTAGAGCAGATTGGATGGGTGTCACTGCGTCCGTTTTCTGAGCCATGAGGGTCCCTGGCTCCAGACCCACTGAGCAGAAGCACCAAGAAAGGGCCTGAGGGTCCCCCCTGATCAGGCAGAACTGGGAAAACTCGTGCTAAACGGTTGCCAGACCCCCCTCCTGGTGTCCAAGCCCTGCTGCCCGTGCCCCAACCCGCCAGGCTCTCGGCACGCTTGCCAGCGCCGCGACTTCCGTACCCAGGGCACACCGACCGACCCAGGACTGTGACGTTCTGAAGTCCACCCCATGGCTGCCCCACAGCCTCAGCGAGAAGTGGCACCCTGAGGCCCCCGCACCTCTCCATCACCTCCCCCACTGGCCCCAGCTTCTCCCTCCTGCCCACACCCCCTTCTTCCCCATCTGTGGCTTTATCCAGCTGGTTCCCAGGCCTGCTTCCAAACTGTCTTGTTCCTGAAGTTGACTCTCCCCAAAACAATACACTGTTGCCTTTCCTAAGAGCATTGAAAGCAACATCATCAGGTTGGAAGGCATTTTCAAGAAGGCCAACATCAGAGGGAAGCCGTGAGGGACGTGGAGTTTCTGTGCATCAAAGGTCAGGCCCATGACCTAAGTTCAGGGCCGCCAGATGTGGCCGTTCTGGAGAAGCGCTGATTCTCCCCCTGGACTCGGCTGTTCTCATGGGCTCATCCAAGTGCACAAACGCGTGTAAAGGAACACAAAAGCATGACTCCGCCCACTTGAGCAGAGGGCTCTGGACCCCCACATCTGGGGGTACCAGAGTAGGTGCCCAAGGGGAGTGCTACAGCCCCGGTCAGAGGCTCTGGGGGGTGTGTGAGGAAGGACCTGGTTCGTTCTAGCTGGGGGCTTTCCTAGTGTCCCCCAGGCGCGGGCCCCCCACAGTGGCCAGGGTGGGGAGGGGGGCGCCAAGCAGCAGGGGCTCTTCCCTACCGTTCCCCGAGCCGGGGGTGGTCCTGGTAAGACGCGGCTGTCCTGTCAGATTTTACCTGAAAAAATTTTTCAAAAAAAAAAAAACATTCTGCCCCCAAAAAGGTTTTAAAACCTCATATGGCCCTTAATGAAGAATACTTAGCATGTGTCCAGACCCTCATACCTTCAATTATGGCTTTTATATCAAATATCTTCTATAATCTCAACACAGAAGAGACACTGTGTTTTCAGTGTATTCATGCATAGGTCAGAGTATGCAGGGTGCCGGGCGCAGGCGCAGACCGGGGGTGTGTGTGCGGAGCCCGTCTCCCCTCCCCCGCGGCCAGCCCTGCTGCTCCGCACCGTCCTCCCGGGTGCTCTGTGGCTCCTCCTCAGCGTCCTGTTTTGCTCTCCCCGCAGAAGCTGTACAGGAAGGAGATCAAGCCGCCGTTCAAACCAGCGGTGGGCAGGCCCGAGGACACCTTCCACTTTGACCCCGAGTTCACAGCACGGACGCCCACAGGTGTGCACCGGCCGTGAGTGCAGGCGAACCCGGAGTTCGGCCCCACTGTGGGTCCTCCTCCTCCCCGGCCGTTAGGGAGGGCGACGTAGCCAGGGGGTCTCAGGTCCGAGAATGCCTCCATGGAGGGTACCGGTCGGTTCTGACTTTCTCGTTCTCTCTGCTCCGCCTTCAAGGTTTAAATGAGAGAACCAATTCTCAGTCCTCCTCCCGGTAACAGCTGGTTTGGAATCATGCGGGGGTTCTGTGGATCCCCCTGTCCTGCCACCTCCTCTTCTGAGCTGCGATCCGGGGACCACTTCTTTCAGGCACACACGAGCAGGGAGCCTCAAGACAATGGAAGTGTCTCCCGTAGTTAGAGGGTCTGGGGGAAGAGGCAGGCTGCGGGTGATGTCTGGAGTGGTGTGAACTATAGAACTTATTCGTGCAAACCGCAAACACCTGTCAGAAAAGCCCTCTCAGCTACTGGACGTCAGCACAGCCGACGCCACGTACTTTCATGAAAATCGACAGTCACTCTCGAGGTTTATCAGACTCAGAACTGGCCAGCTCCCTCTAAAAGTTACCATTTTGTGACACTGATGTGTTAATATTAATTTTTTGGCGGTATGGGAATTGTCTTGGTCTGCTCAGGCTGCCATGACAAACGACCAGCCTGGGCACCTCAATCAACAGACATTATTTCGGTTCCTGGTGAGGGCTCTCTTCCTGGCTGGCACACGGCTTCCCACGGTCTTATTCTGTGCTCGAGGAGGAAGAGCGGGCGAGATCCCTGCTGTCTCACCCTCTTCTTATATGGACACCAGCACCATTGGATCAGGTCTCATGACCTCATTTAACCTTCATGACTTCCCGAAAGACCCCATCTCCAAAGACAGTCACATGGAGAGCTAGAGCTTTAAACTACAAATTTTGGGGGAACATGGTCGGTCCAGTCCGTACAGTAGAGTATGTTATATAATGGTGTTATGTGAAAAAAAAGGGGGGGAAGAACTCTCCTGTCTATGGGGGTTCTTACTACTTTTGAATCTGAAATTTCCTATGATTTTTAAGGATAATCGTGAAACAAATAGATGGTCAAATACAAAACACTATGTGAAGAAACTTGGAAGAGAGAATCTACTTTGTTCCCTTTGAGTTAGGCTGTGGGTGCTGGGAAATAAACCCCCACCATGCTAGACTAGAGAAGCGTAATTAAAACCCAGAAGGCTCCACTGAGTATTTTTTAGAATCTGAAAACTATGCGCTGCTAGAGAGCAGAGAAGAAGCGCGGCAGGTGCCAAGCCGCTCCAGATCCGGGGCTCTGCTCTCTGGCTTGCTTCGCGCTGTCTGCCTTTTTCCTGCACAGAATTTTGGCTTTGAGGTCTGCCTTCTCTTGAAAATCCCCCACCCTACCGCGGGCTGCCCGGAAGTTCTCCACCAAAGCACAATGGATACATCAACCTTACGCAAATCTTCAACCCCCAGGGCGCTTTGGTGTCCTCCTATTCCAGGTCAACCCAGGGAATGAGCCAGAGCCCGGCAAATGGTCAGGGCGGAGCCTAGCCCAAGAGGTTCATTAATAGCCGCTGAGGAGTGTGTGTGCTTTGCAGGGGAGAACAGGTCTATTAACTTGAACTGATGCATTTTCATCCGTGAATGGAGACTTTGCAGATCAGATAAGCACTGTCTCTGAACTAGGGGCCCAGAATACACAGCCATGCCTCCCATCGCCAGGGCTGTCTCCCCCTACACAGACCGAGCGGTGGCGGACAGCCTCAGGGTGATCAGATGAGGTTCAGATGGGTCTTTACGGAGTCACCACCACCGCTCACAATTGGTTGGTGTGACTGGCAGGCCTGAGTGATAGGTGGCATAAATAGAATTTAACATGCTTGAGAATCATCTGGGAGATGCTGATTTTCAGCACAGTACTTTAAAAGCAGACACATGAGTTGGATAAAAGAAAACTTAAAACTTTGATGATCCCATGACTAGTTTCTGACTAGTATGTTTGAGGGGTTTTTAAATCTTGGACGGGCACCTCTCACCAGTAAGCGCGCTCCAGTGGGCAGCTGATTTGTGCACGTCCAGGGGATAGAAACCAGCTTCAGTGTTGGCTTAAGTTTAACAAAAAAAAAAAAAAAAGACCGTAACCCACCGCAAGGCATTCCCATTCTGCATCCAGAAATCTCACATACAGGATATGGATTATCCACTGTTTCAGAATATCCCCTTGCCATAACTACCCTTTAACAGAACCATGCACTGAGCTCATGTGCTTAGAAAATTCTACCTTTTATTAATATATAAATGTAGAGAGAATGATTTTTCTGTGTCCTTAGCCCTTCAGTTACTACCCAGCAAAAAAGCAAACTGTATGGTGTCATAAATTAAGCAAAAGTGATTGGAGAATTCAAACGAGGAAGCCCCTCCTGGAAGGTTGAATTAATTGTCTCGTTGTTACCTGCAGACTCACCCGGCGTCCCCCCCAGTGCCAACGCGCATCATCTGTTCAGAGGATTCAGTTTTGTGGCCTCAAGTCTGGTCCAGGAGCCCTCGCAGCAAGATCTGCACAAAGCCACGGTTCACCCCATCGTGCAGGTAAATCCCGTACCGCCAGGCTGCTCGCCCCCAGCAGGTGTGCCCGGAGAGGCGCCAGCACTCATGTCACGCATGGGCTGAGAGCAGCCTGGGTCCTGGGGTGCTGATGCGGGGGGTACTGACTCTGTCCCCAGCCTGCTGGGCGTTACTGAGTCTCATGGTGATCTGAGCCATGCCTCTCACCCCTGCTTCACATTCATCCTCATGAAGGGAGAAGAGTTCTGACCAGAATGTCCCTGGGGTGTGTGTGTGGCTAGAGCCCCCACAGGGGGTCAGACGGGGGCGTCCTCACTGTGTGGATCGAGTCAGTACCCCAAGAGAGTAGTTTGGTTTATAGGGGCCATTTCTCTGTTGTGAAATGTATTGTTTGGGAAATCAATTCAGATGACATTTTTAGGAGTTCTCCACCTGATGAGTGCAACCAGATGCAGAGAATTCTAAGAAGGAATTGTGATTGCATTTTAAGGACAAAGTCAGGGGAAATGAGGTGGCATTCGATTTCCATATTTCTTTCTCCTGGGCCTTTTGGGAACGCACCGTGTGTCTAACGGGGACACTCGATGTGACGGTATACACCACATACGAGGTGTGATTGGTGGCTTTCTGTCTGTGCGCTCAGTGCATAGGGTGGAGGCTTGTGCATACGGGCAGATGGGGCTGTGGCTGGAACATCACATGGGGGTGTGAGTTCCAGTCAGATTCGGACACCAGACACCACTCTGGCCTCAAGCATCCGAACCATGCACCCATTATCTGCAGGGCCTTCTGCACTCCCACCTCCAGAGTCTCAGACTCTGTGTAGTATGGTCTAAAAATTAAGCTCATCCCCACAAAGTTAGGCTTCAGGTCTGGAATCATTGCTGACCAGCAGCATTACCTTCATGATCCATTATCTCCTGACCTCGGTGACCTCGAGGGCACCATCCAGGACCTCCCTTGCTGCCCACGTCCTGTGTGCCCGCGATTGTGCCTTTGCCCGAGTGAGCTCTGACAGCAGTCCCTCCCCCGGGTCTCTCTCCACAGCAGTTACACGGGAACAACATACACTTCACCGATGGCTATGAGATCAAGGAGGACATCGGGGTGGGCTCCTACTCCGTGTGCAAGCGATGTGTGCATAAAGCTACTGAGGCAGAGTATGCTGTGAAGGTAAGACCACGCACCTGTGTGAGCCGTGAGCGGCGCCGCGTGCGGGCTCCACGTGCCCTGAGCCGGCAGGTCTGGCTGAGCCGGCCAGCCTTCTCCCCATGTGCCGTCCCACAAGCTCTAATATGACGGAGTTCAGTTTGCTTTGACACCAGGTCACCCATTCAAAAATTATTTTGCAGATCATGAATATTTTGAGTTTTATCCGACATATAAGTACTGACCAACTTTAGTAGCTTTATGTACAGTATGCCCTGAAATAAAAGCTTTGGGTGCTCAGTATTCCAGAAAATACAACTGGGGGACAGGCACAGTGTTGTTTGAGCGGGCTGGGGGGTGGGGAGAGGAAGAAGCTACAGTCACCGAAAATTAAATCAAAGAAACGAATAGAGGCATAAACTGGTAATATCTGTGCAAACTTAATCAGAGCGCTGGTAGTTTTACTTGCAACCATCAAGAAAAGTCAATAGTAAGAGAATTATCTAGAATTATCTAGAATCCAATCTCTACATAATACCTTTAGCTTCTGTAATTGTTGCTAGATTTGATATTTGATCTGGAAATCCCAAACACCAGTTGCTTGAATTTTCGTGTTGGTGAAATGTGGACTAAATCTAAAGCTTCCGGCCAAAAGCATAACCTGATGTATGTAAAAAGCATAAACTGTGCATTCTCTCCACAAGACAGCCAGAGATGCTCTAACTCTGCTGCTTCCCCACTGAACTGACCTCGAGACTCTGGAGAAGCCGGGTCCAGCCTGTGGCGTCAGCGCGGCCAGACCCAGACGTGTCTGCGCCACGTGGCGCTGCACCTGCCCTTCACCGGACATTTGGGGAAGTATGGAACCTGTCCAGCAGCAGCGTAAAAGGAGCGCTTCCTTCTGTTGTGATTTTCCTAAACTCGGAAGAAATTGTTTGAAGTGATGCCTGTGGGGGAATGACCCCGTTCCTTCGCGGGTCACCCATGCCCCGTGCTTCTTGCACTGAGAAAATGTTCAACTCTTGTCAAAAAAAGACACCAGCCCAAAAAAACTAGGCCCTTTGGTCTAGTTTGGGTTGGAAATTGATGGCTTGTTGACAAATGTATCCTGAAGTTCTCAAGCAGGAAAGAATGTTTGAAATACGGAGTTGCACAGACTCTCAGCGCTTGGCCTGCCCAGAGTCTGCAGCACCGTACCCGGAGCCGAAGGAAGGGGTGCGGTACAGTTCCCGGAGCGGTGGGTCCAGGTGCACAAGCGCCACTGTCTGGCCCGGTGTCTGACAGCAGGTGCGGCCCGGGCCCCCGGGAACACAGGTGGTGTCGCCAGCAGTGACCGCTGCAGAAGGGGCGTGCGGGGCTCCATGCGTTTCTAAGACTTGGGTTGATGAGGACTTTCAAGTTTCCTCCTCCCTGGGAGCGTTCAGAGGCGTGCGTGCGTGGACGCCCCCGTGTGCCCTGCGGATGCTGTGCCGGTGGGCAGGTGCGCCCGACATGGGGCGGGCACCTGCACTCTGCCCCCTGGATGAGAGGATTGCACGCGTGCCTCAGAGCGTAGGGCACACATGCGTGGGCTTCGGAGAATTTTCTCTGCCTGGGTCCTTTCTCGCAGAATTCCTTCAGCCGTGTATCAGGTGACCAGCAGCAATCCCAGAAACAATCGCTGCTTCCAGTGAGCACGAAGAAACGCGTCTATTGTTCGGCTGGCTCAGTGACCACGATGCCCTTCTCGAAAACAGCCTGCCTCTGTGAGGCCGGTCAGCTGCGTTTTGTGCCTCTGAAAATAAATCTCCCATTGACAGAGGCAGTGGTGTGTTTCCCCGTACTGTCCCCATAGCCAGCCCTCTTATAGAAACACCGTCTGAATCCGGCTTTGTTCCGTGGCTTTACCTCGGTCCCTGCATCTCCCACTGAGGCCAACTGGGCTGGGGCCTTCTGGGGCATCTCAGCCCAGGGCCCAGGAGCCAGACGCATGGCCACAGCTCAGTGCGGCAGAAAGAAACAGGGTCTTCCTGTTCTTTTTTTCCAAGGCTTGAAGTTCCCTGGACAAAGTGAGCTGGTGGACCTTGCAGGATTTGCCCCATCCTCACTGAGACCATGGTGGGTGTCCTCATTCATTGTCTGGAGGGTGTGTAAATTCACCCAGCTGTGGCCCTTCGCTGCACAGCCCCCAGGACCCAGAGCTGGGCCAGCCCGTATAAGCTGCTTGTTGCAGGGACAGTAGTCAGGTCCTGGGTCCTGGTTCAGATTTCCTTCAAAGGCGAAAGAACTGGCTGGAGTTTCAAGGCAGAGAGCTCCGTATTCAGGATGGGCCCCTGTGTTACCAAAATGTTGTAATGTCCTACAGATCACTCCTCTGTCTCGTCTTCAGCATTTCCCAGGTAGAACATAATGGAAATATTCTTTGGCCTTTGTCTGTGTCAGCTGACTGGTGGATGAGTAGCAGTTTCCCCACTTAGGGGTGGAAGAACTAGCCAAACTAAGAACGTCTTTTAACAGCCGAGCCCTGAGAGCGTGGCAGTTAATGACTTGGCGTGCGAGCTGGACCTCAGGCCAGCAGACGCCCTATTGAGCCCCCGCCGCTGAACTGAGCCCCTGCATCCCAGCTAGCACACCAGGAGCTGGCCGGCCCAGCCGTCCAAATTCTAGCGTGCACGGAAAAGGGGGTCTGTTTCGTGTTGAGAAACAGTCCAGTCAGAGCCAGCTGGGGCCTCCTCACCCCACTGCATGGGTGATTCAGAAACCTCCCCACTGAGTAACGAGCAGAAAAATGTAAGCAGCAACTTTGATAAACAGCAGGATGCGGCTTCCGCCTGGGGCAGTCATAATGGGGGGGGGGCGGGTGTTGGGCTGGTTCTGCCTCCCGCGGGGGCACTGGCGATGTCTGAGACACCCTGGTTTTCACAGCTGGGGTGGGCCTCGTGTACGCAGGCCAGGGATGCTGCAGAGTGTCCTGCACGGGCCGGCTCTTCCCACAATCCTGGACACAGGACTACCCAGCCCATAAAGTCGGCAGTGCTGAGGTCGAGAACCTCAGTCTAAAGCATCCTTTAGGGGTGGGGGCTGAGGGGTGGATATCTCATGCAGAAATTCCAGCGGACTGACATCTGGGAGGCGAGGGTGGTGTGTGCCTTCCCCGTTAAGCTCTGCTTACTCTTAGCAGGATGACGCTCTGACGGAGCCCAGTGCCTCCTGCACTCTACTCAGGGGCAGGGCAGGCCCTCTGGCGGATGGAGCCTCGACTGCCAGGGCACGGCCTTGCCAGAGACCGGGGGGGGGGGGCCGCCCGCAACCCCGCGCAGACCAGGCCCACAGCCTCGGACCACATGTGGGACATATTAGATCTCACGTCTTGGAAATATCATTGTGTTTTGCTTTAAGCTTATTTCTCTGTCTTATGGGCCCCTAATTTTGCCACTATAATTACTCTGTCATCACATTAACGACATTTAAGGCCATATGTAAACCTCTCCACCCAAGTATATTCCCAGTCAACAATATTGTTGGTTTTGCATTTATTCTCAGCTGCACTTTTCTGTGCAGCTCTTAAAATTAGTGAGGCCACGTCTAGCTACCACGTGACAAAGTTAGCGCAGTACGCGCACACAGCAGGGACTCAGTAAGTGTTGGTGCAGAGTCTGAATCCCTAGGCTTGGTCCTTCCCTCGCAGCCAAGGCAGACAAGGCTGGATTGCCCAGGATCTTCCCCTGGGAGAGCCTGGCCTCAGGCGGTGAGGCAGGTGCTGCCCCCCGTCCTTCTCGCAGGCACCACCTTGGGCTGACTCGGCGTAGGATGTCCCACCAGTGTGCCCATCTAGTGCTGAGAGAGTGGATGGGAAAACCGTGATGTCCTCTCTTCTCTCCCGTCTGTCAGGCACGTGACAGTTGAACAGATGTGCCCTACTTTTTCTTAGCACACGGAGCTGCTTCCGAAGGACAAAACCGCTCAACACTCCAGTGCACAACTCAAGTTCACCTTTGCTTTCATAGCCAGCCCCGGAAGGCGAGGAGAGGAGATGAAATTGTGCAGGAGTTTGAAATAACGTGACATAGAGCCGCACAGATGGCCAGGCCTGAATACATCTTCCGTTTAAAAAATAAAGTTAACACGGAATCATTTACGACGTGCAGAAGGGAACTAGGATTGAGCAGCGCTTGAAGGGGAGAGGTTTATTTGAATAGAAAAAATCATTAGTATTCTCTCCGTCAAGGTGCTGTACTCACTTTACATGAATTGCGTAAGAGGGCTGTCGGTCTCGATTTTGTTTTGGAGTCTTTGTGGCTCAACATGATCAGGCACGCATTGTGGACAGCCCAGGAAGCCAGTTTGTATAAAAAGGACTCCTGGCATTGTGCTGACGGGAAAGTACATAGGAACAAATCAGAGCTCATTCACTATGGAAAAGCTGCCTTGTGTCAGTAAATGTCTCAACCTCTCAGAAGCCTACATAGGTGCGCCTTGAGAGAGTTCTGGACAGTGCGGATGACTCAGGTGTATACTGATCTCAGGGCGCAGAACTCACATGCACACCCAAGGTACTGCTTTTGCCACCTTGATCCTTGGTTTCGAAACACAAACATCAGTAATTTCTAAGAAGCAAATGATACAACACCTGAAGTTCATGAGACCAGGAGCAGCAGGTATTAGATAGAATTCAGACTTATCATAAATTCTGTCATCTGTTATGACGATGATGATGATGATAACAGCAAACAGCCCTCACTAGGTGTCAAACCTGCCCAACTCAAAATGCTCTGCATATTAGGTCCGTTGATCTTCATGACACCGTGACGTAATTACTTTCACCATCCCCTCGAGGGCACAGAGACCGGCAGGTCAACAACACACACAAGGCCACCCAGCCTGTAAGTGGGAGAATCACTGAATGTCCAAGCGCGCAATGCCCTTGACCTCCCCAGGACGCTGCCTCTGACTTCCAAGGGGTGGAGCCCTAAGGCTTCACTCCAGCTCACTCCCATGCATTCTGCAACCTCCAGATCACGAGACTGAGACAGCCATGCAGAGCAGATGGGGCTGGGCAGTGGTAAATTTAAAGCCCAAGTCATGGGATCTGCAAGGAAAATGTGTGGTTTTGACGACCATCTAGGCTCCCTAAACATTACAGTGAAGTGTTGCTGGAGAAAGTGGAGGTGCCCAAGACCCTGGATCCAGGCTCCTTTTCTTGCGTGTCCCCTGCTGTTCTGCTCCCAGCTCTCGGTGCCGTGCCTTTGGGTTGACTCCACCTAACAATCACACCTTCTCTTCAGTAGCAGAGTTTTGTTCTGTTAACTAGAGGTACTGTAGTTTGTTTTAGCAAAAGACTCGGGTGAAAGTGAAGCAAGATCCTTAAAGTTGTGCGAGTCTGTGTCTCCCAGTCCTTGATTCTAGGGAGGAGGTGGGGCCGACGCACGTCTGCCAGGAGATGGGCAGGCTGTCCTGACACAGAGCCCGTTTTGTGTTCACGACAGATGGTTACAAGAGCATTAGCGCTCCCGTGCTCATGTTCTTATGTGTATGTAAGTTGAAATCCAAAAATGCAGCATGATTGAGACCAATGTTTGACATGAATAGAGCTTATTTTTAGAAGGAAAACTGATCGGCATGGAAATTTTAATTTTTTCCAGCAGGAAAACTCCGAGTCCCCTCGCTGTGTCATTTGTTTAAATTAATTGTGCGAGAGAAGTTGTCTATGAAATCTTATGAAGGATCGCATGCTTGACTACCCTTGTTCACCTACGGCACTGATCCTGGGAGCAAGCTCGTGGAAATACCCTGCCTCCAGGGGCGTGCAGCAAGCCCGTGAGCCCCTCCTCTGGATCACCACAAAGCCCATTTCCCCCACGGGACTCCACGTCCCAGGAGGGGAGCACCCAGGGAGAGCCGGGGACGAGGAAGGTGGAGGGGTTCAGAGACAGAAGAGGAAAAGCTGAGGACGGCGAGGCCTCGTTTCTTCCCGCCCCTTCCCGTCTCCAGCACCCAGGAATAAAAATGCACATGAGGGGCGCCTGGCGGGCTCAATCAGTAGAGCATGAGGCCCTTGATCTCAGGGTGGTGAGTTCAAGGCCCACACTGGGCCTAGAGCTTACATTGATTGATTGATTGACTGACTGATTGATTAAAAGGAAGAAAAGAGAAGTGCTGCTGATACGTCCGTCCCCATATGCTTCACCAGCAGAGAGAGTCCTCCTCTGCCGTCCATCGCGTCCTGGGGGTGCTGACTTAGCCCTGTAAATGTACAGCTTGTTGGGGAGCAGCACCGCGGGAGGCTCGTTTACCGGCCGTGGTGGGGGGCTGACCCTGGGCAGCGTCCTGCCCGCTCTCTGCGGCCGCTGGGGGATGAGAACCGCAGAGACCGTTCCTCCCCACCCCTTCTCTGTGGTTCCGCCAGATTATCTGAGCACCAGCACGGAGGAGAGCAGGCCTTGCTCATCAACACGATGGCTGAGAATTCCTTCCCTGAGACTATAACTCAGTATTATTCTCAAAATAAGGAACTTGATCCACCAGCGCTTTCTTGAACCAGAAGCAAGTCTAACAATGGCAATCCCAGGAAACCAATCCCACGGAGAAGAAATTCATTCCTTGACGTTTCTAGACAAATGCTCAGAACCTCTCTCTGGGCTCTGCCGTCCCCCCTGCTCAGACTGCAGCCTGGGCTCAGGGACCAGTAAGCCTGCCTCACGGCTCAGCATCTCTGTTAAGACTCTTCTTCCTCACCTTAAAAAATAATAATAATAATAATTCCAGAAAAAGATTTGTGGATAAAAGCAGCCGGCGCTTGCTGACAACAGGACCAAACAAACCCTGAGTCTGACCAGAGCGTACAGCTGTGTGAAAGTGCATAGGAACATCTCCCCCGCACAACCGCCTCCCCGCCTCCCCACCTCCAGTGCCCCACCTTGACCTCTGGCTTGCAGTCAGCCCCGCCACAGGGAGACCCCACAGGAGAAAGGAAGAGCCCCCAGCTCCTGTCAGGTGCACCTTCTGTGCAGTCGCCCCATCCGGTCCTGTAACTGCCCCCGGGCCACTGGCAGGAGAGAAGAAGCTTCCTGCTTCCAGCTCCACTGAGGTTGATAAAACAGATTTATGCTGAGAATACACCATTTTTATCATGAAATTTTATTCAAAAAAAATGAATCTAACACTAATTTTTTAAAAAATCCATTAATGCATTTTAACCTTCTCAAATTCCAAAGACAAGGTCACAGCCCGAGAGACTGAACGAGCCCGTGGGCCGTTGGAGCAGAAGGGGTCTTGAACCCCACTGGCCAGCTCACAGTCCAGGCAGTGCTTTACAAACCCCCACGCTGCTGAAGAAGCCTTCAGAGAGCCCCTCCCTCAGAACGCTGCATTATCTGCTAGTTTCCTTCAATAATAGAAGCAATCCTGGTCCACGCTAGAACTTTAATGGAGTAAAATGTAGCAAGAGGAGAAGAATGTGGCAAGAAAGGGAGCTTCACTTTGTGCTTGTTTAACAGCACTTGTCACTGGGCTCGCAGTCCTGGGGTGCCAGGGTCATCGGAGCTCGGCTGCGGGCTTTAAAGCTGAGACGGAGAGCGGAGCGTGGGCACTAGGGTGATCTATCCTGACAGCGAAGGGGAGGGACGAGGGGCATCCAGGGGCAGCGTTCTAACAGTGGGTCAGATGCTGCCAAGCACTCTGCTCATCTAGAGGAAAGAGATTGAGTTTCACGCGAAGCTTTGCTTAGAGTCTGATGTGAGAGAAGGTAAAAGCCAATCTCGCTCCTACTCCGGTAGTCAAATCATGGCACATTCTCCAAAGACCAAATATTTTAAAATTAGGTGAAACTAATGTGCAAGAACAGTATGAGGGACTCTTCCATTTTGAGTGTCGTTTCTAATGCATGTGCTTGGGGTTCACTTGGATGGCGTCCCCCACCCCCACCGGTTCCACCCCGTAGAGGTGGGAGCAACGGCATAAGTAAACCACCTCCAGAGATGTCAGCCATTATTGGCCAACCCAGAGGCTTCCCTGTTCCAAGTAGGCTTCTATTCATGGCACCTTGTCCTGTCTTTGGAAGCCATCTGTTTTCATGGGTGGAAGGATTTTATCTGTTATCCTAAGACATGGAATACAGACGCTGGGTGGCGGAGGGGAAGGAAGGTTTGTGTCTAAGCCACAGTGGCCAACTCAGCATGCACGCCGGCCCCGGCGTCTCCTGGGGAGAACCAGGCACTCTGTCCCACGTGGCGGCTGGTGTGTTGCTGCAGGGTAAGGCAAGAGATGCGCAGAGAGCCGCTCGAGGCTCATTTTGGGCAGAGTGAAGAGCACGGGCCACCCACTCAGAGCCTGCCACGGTGATTGAAAGCACCTGCCGCTATTTGGTGGTGCCCGTGTGAGCCCCCCAAGCCCACCCTTCTCTATCCAACCCTGTAATATCTTAAAATTCATGTCTGAGGCTTGTGCCGGCTTTTTTTTTTTTTTAAGATTTTATTTATTTATTTGACAGAGAGAGACACAGCGAGAGAGGGAACACAAGCAGGGGGAGTGGGAGAGGGAGAAGCAGGCTTCCCGCTGAGCAGGGAGCCCGATGCGGGGCTCGATCCCAGGACCCCGGGATCATAACCTGAGCTGAAGGTAGATGCTTAACGACTGAGCCACCCAGGCGCCCCTTGTGCCTGGTTTTTGTAAATGTCACTCTTAGGCTAGTTGGGAAAGAGGATTGCCATGAACTTCTAGGCAACTGTCACTTATCCTGGTTGAGCGTGAGCTGCAGGGGAGGAGGGGGAGGAGGCAGAAAGGGTCCGAGCCTGCTGATGCCATCCCAGAGCCTCACGTCACATGCTCTGCTTGTTCCAGATCATCGATAAGAGTAAGAGAGACCCCTCGGAAGAGATCGAGATTCTCCTGAGGTACGGGCAGCACCCGAACATCATCACCCTCAAAGACGTAAGTGGGTTCGTGCAGCAGTGACGTTGCTTGTGCTCTCGTTTCTTCACCTGGCACCGAAGCTGGCGTTGGTCTGGTGCTGGCTTTCTTCACGGTTCAACCACTGTTGCTGCCCCCAAGAGAGTGTGCTGGAGCCGGCCCCCACCGCGTGTACCTCAAAATCCCCCAGCGGCTGCCCGAGTTCCCGTCCCTCTGACAGCAGGCCCCTCCCCTCCACCACACTCCCAAATCGGGTAACGTGGAATATAAAAGAGGAAAAGAAGCTGGTGCAAATTCTAATCCAGTTGTGTTACTGTTCGGTGCCATTCCTAAACACAGCAGAAACGGAGAGTCTGGAGTGGCTGAGACGGGGCTGGGTCGGATCTGAGACCCCAGACCAAGCTCTGGCCGTGGGGCTCCTCCCAGCTTGCCCTGCCTCTGCTGGGCAATGAGTGGTCCCCGGCGCGGGAGAGGGAAGGGGGCAGGGGTCCAGCCCCTAGAAAGCCCAGCACAGAGCCCAGGGCTGTGGTGTCGGGAGCCAGAGGGGACACAGAGCTGTCTCCTCGCCACCTTCACCCTCACATTCCAGAATGATTCCGGCGTCCTGAACCCAAACCCTCAAGATTTGGGGACTGCCTCGACTTCCCGTTGGGCCCCGTCAATTCCCGGAGCAAGGGGACTGCAAAATGCCAGTTCACCTCGGAGGAAAGTGTGCAACAAGTCCCTGTGTTAACCCGTGCGAAGTGAACCGGCTTTCTCCCCTTGGGTCCCAGGCACCTCCATGGTGCTGACCTGTCCTCCAGCCGTTTTGGTGTTTTTTCATGTGCTAAGATGCACAAGCAGAAATCAGCTCATTTAGGGGCACCTGGGTGGCTCAGTTGGTTAAACCGCTGCCTTCAGCTCAGGTCATGATCCCAGGGTCCTGGGATCGAGCCCCACATCGGGCTCCCTGCTCATGCAGGAAGCCTGCTTCTTCCTCTGCCTGCCGCTCCCCCTGCTTGTGCTCTCTCCCTCTCTCTCGCTCTCTCTGTCAAATAAGTAATAAATAAAATCTTAAAAAAAAAAAAGAAATCAGCTCATTTGAAAACTTCTAAGTTTTCAAACCACTTTCATTATGTTGGGGTAAGTGATTCTGGGCCAAAGATGCCATCGTATGTCCATTCTCAAAAGTAGAGCTTTTTTTTGAGGCATAAACTGGAAATACATACACCAAAATCAACTTTACATCTTGCATTGAGCTCAGAGTCAGGCAAATTATTTTAGTGAATTGTTCTGGAAACTCACTGATTCGTAAGCTAACAATTACTCGTGTTTAGGTGCTGGCCCCGTTTCCACGAGGCCCTCCAAGCGCCTGGGCACTGGCGTGCAGGGAGGTTGCAGCCCACACGAGCGTGTCATGGAAAGAGCGGAGCAGAGGGGTGGGGGCTGTTTAAGCTCTTGAGAGTGAAGGTGGTGTGACAAAGCTCTCTTCTTCCATTGCTTTCCTGAGATAAGAGCACTGTTGCAAACGGCAGATTCTCTCTCCCTCTGCCTCCCCTCCCTGCTGGGCTCTGGGGTCTGGCGGCTCTGAGGCTCGTCCACGGTGCAGCGGGACGGAGGGCTCCTGGGGCCGGCTGGACATGACCCGGGCCTGCTGGCCTGGACCCTGCCTGCTAACAAGACCCCCGGGGCTGTGCACACTGAAGTCTGAGGAGCTCGGCTCTGGGCCCACAGCCCCAGCTGCACCTCTGCAGTTCTCCATGGCAGAGGGGGGCGGGGGCCCAGATCAGGACGAGTCATGTCAGCTGAAGTCTCACCCTTGCAAGCTCCTGGCCTCGCTGACTCATTCCCTGCTTTGCAGCAGATGATTAAAACGGGTTTTCCCTAAGCGCCGCGTCGGGTATGACTGGAATGGCCATTCACTCACTTTCACCCGGAGCCTTATTTTCACACCCAGGGGAGCACCGAGCCCCCAGCCTCTGCCCTGCCTCCAGGGCTGCCCTTCTCCCCCATGACAGGCAGGACTGCGCGGGCGGCGGCGGTGTGGAGGCCGCCAGGGTGACTGCATGCTCTGTTCTCCGCCCCCCAGGTCTACGACGATGGGAAGTTCGTGTATCTGGTGATGGAGCTGATGCGCGGCGGAGAGCTCCTGGACCGCATCCTCCGGCAGCGCTACTTCTCGGAGCGGGAGGCCAGCGATGTGCTCTGCACCATCACCAAGACCATGGACTATCTCCACTCCCAGGGGGTAAGCAGCCTGCGGCCACGCGGACAACATAAGAACAGGAGAGACCAGACCAGGAGAGAGTTCCCTGGCTCCAGAGCTGGGGAACCCGTTGTCCTGACTTCCTTCTGTATCACCGCCGCCCCTTCCGTGTCTGAGATCATTGCACACATACTGTGCCCCGCAGCTAGTAGGGAAATTAAGTTTACCTGGACCAGTTATAGAGAAAAAGTATTTGGGCTGGATAACAGGACATGTTGCTCTATTTACAACTGAATCCTTAGCCAATACAAAGGAATCCTGCAGAGGACAGAGACAGTGAGAGCTCGCTTGGCCGAGGCCCTCACCGGGTTCCAGGTGCTGCTCTGTGCCCTTCATTCATGCAGCCCTGAGCTCCGGATTACACCTGCTCACAGACCGGGAGATTAGAGCGGGGGGGGGGGGGAGGTTAGGCATCTTGCCCAGGGCTGGTTGCACAGGAGAGAGTGGAGAGCTGGGGTTCCCGCCTGGCTGTCTGCTTCCAGACCATCGCTCGGCCCCTCCCGCGAAGCAGACAGCGCTTCCATGGCCCGCCCTGCCCCGTGGTCATGAACATTTAAAATGCAGCCACCGGGGCGCCTTCGTGGCTCAGTCGTTAAGCATCTGCCTTCCCCTCAGTTCATGATCCCAGGGTCCTGGGATCGAGCCCTGCATCCGGCTCCCTGTTCTGAGGAGAGTCTGCTTCTCCCTCTCCCACTCCCCCTGCTTGTGTTCCCTCTCTCGCTGTGTCTCTATCAAATAAATAAATAAAATCTTTAAAAAAATAAAATAAAATAAAATGCAGCCACCTCCGAACTGGAGGATGTTCCTCCAGGACCACACCACAGGCCTTTCTGTGGTCACCCAGTGGTCTGGGAGTGCGAAGCATTTTCCCAGAACAAACTCTAGAGGAAACCCGTGGGATGATGGTTTTTTCAGATTGGCTTCTATTTAATGAGGGAGGTAATAGGCCTGGCCCCAAACTCTCCTGCTCCCCTGCCCTCAGGGCCTCTGCCCGTCTGTGTCCCTTCAACTTCCCTCCATCTTCTGCCCCTGAGTTTTAACAGCACAGCAGGTTCCAGGCTGTGTGAGGGCACCCACATGTGCTCACAATCAGCCTCTGTTCCCATCAGACGAAATCGCTGTGTGGCCCCAAAGAGCTGCTTTGCTTTGAGATGTCAGGATGGCTTTCGCCGCCCCCATCCCTCCTGCTCGGAGCGCCCTGCGCCTCCCTCCCCCACAGGTGCAGGTAGGGCTCCTGTCAATCGCTTGATCGCTGCCCACGAGTCACCTGCCCCATGACAGAGGCTGCATGTCTGCCTCGCTCTCTCGTGAGCCCTTCACAGCACTGGAGCGTTCTGGGCACACAGTAAACATCAACCTGTAGAAATCTTTTTATGCACGTCACCTGAGCTCAGTGCAACATTCCTTGTATATAATTCTCTCATTTGGGGTGGCTTCTTATTTACTTGAGTGTCAATACGAGAGCAAGAGATGAGGGAAGCCCTGCCCTAAAGAACATAGAGTCTGAGCGGACCGGCTTCCAGCTACAGGACCTGCTCAGGGTCATAATCCCAAAAAACCCCTTATGTTCTGAATGCTTCCCCCTTCCCCTTCCTGCTTCAACCCTGCCCACTGCCTTTCCAGGTGGTGCATCGAGACCTGAAACCGAGTAATATACTATACATGGATGAGTCTGGAAACCCTGAATCCATCCGAATCTGTGACTTTGGGTTTGCCAAGCAACTTCGAGCTGAGAACGGGCTGTTGATGACACCCTGCTACACAGCAAATTTCGTTGCCCCGGAGGTAAGAGCTCCGAGCCATGGATCGATTGGTACTTCGGAGTCACCTTGATTTAGTTCAGCAGTCATGTTAGGAGAAATGAGTCAAAAAAGAACCAGCCACTGACCTTGCTCAAACACAGTTATTTTATCATTCTCCTATTTGTAAAATTTTTAATGGTGATGCTTTTATGTAAAATTGTTACCATGCAGTAGACCATTTGGATCAGCTCCGCGTATTTGCTGGGAGTTACTGAGAAATAATGCGGGCAGTTTGTCATACCGCCCGGAAGGGAGCTAATGGGTCACCTGTGTCACCTGTGATCAGAAATCTACCTACAACTACACAGCCAGGGGGAGACTGTTTTTGTGGATTGCCCTTGTGCCAGAGTTCTGCTCCAGACTGTTTTTCATGGCAGAAGCAAGCCAGCGCTGTGGGATTTAATATGAGGGCCTGTAGTGTTCTGCACGGGAGGGCTCTTGGCCCGCATCCAGAGCCTCGGAGAATCTCAGCAGCACCACATCTTGTATATGTGGCCCTTCTCAGGCTCCCTGGGGATGGTTTCGTTAGGCTCTGAAGTCACTGATATGTTTATGAAGGCAAACCCAGTTTCTTGCTTTAAGTAATCAACAAAACCTGAGAGGCTGCTAGAGCAGGACAGACTCGTGGCTGGTGGGGTGAGGGGTCAGGAAGGAGAACAGACGTTGGAGTCTGTGCAGATCCTTCTGGCTATTGGTGAAACTGGACCAGAGTTGCAATGAGGCGTACAGCAAGTCCAAAGAGAGAGGTGTCCGACTCTTGATCTCAGCTCAGATCCTGAGCTCAGGGTCGTGAGTTCGAGCCCTACATCGGGCTCCATGCTCGGCATGGAGTCTACAAAGAAAGAAAGAAAGAAAGAAAGAAAGAAAGAAAGAAAAGAAAGAGAAGAGAAGAGAAGAAGAGAAAAAAAGGAGGTCCCCGGGCACGTGGTAGTAGGTCTTCGAACTGAGAGGTAGCCCCCGCCATCGGTCGCAAGGAAGGCAGCAGGGTGCTGAAGGCAGCAGGATATGGATGGGCACGGGGCCCACAGAGGTGGGCTGTGAAGCCACTTTCAGGTTACCCAGATGCTATCTGTAGCCCCCTTGAACATAATCTGTTTATAAGCCTCTTTGTTGCCTTACTTGATCAATATTAATATTGATAGTATTGATTGTAGCGATTATAGAATATCTTAAATTGGTATATTACTTTACCATTTACAAAGCACTTTTACCAATAGCTTTTACTCTTATCTTCATATGCCATATGAGGTACACAGGGTAGATACTATTAGCCACACTGAATGGATTAAAAAACAAAAACAGATTCAGTGCGTTCAAGTGATTTTTGAAGGTCACTCAGCTAGTGACGCACGCTGCTGGCCCAGCACACAGCATCAGTGATACAATGGTGGAAAGATGGCATCCTTGCCCTTGTGTCTAAGACAACCGAACCCAGCTCTCCTGACTCCAGGTCAATGCTAAATCCAGTAATGGACAGTAATCCATGAGTATTTATGCTGCTCCCTTTACTGTTGTTCAGCTATAAATATATCAGAGGATTGCCCTCCGTTGAAGTATGTAATCCTAGGACACATGAAAATTCTTCAGTTTTAACTGTTCCTCAGAAAATTAAACACAGGATTACTATGTGATGCAGTAAGGCCAATACCCAACGGCACTGAAAGCAGAGACGAGAGCAGCTGTTTGCCCACCCATGTACACAACAGCATTATTCACAATGGCCGCAAGGTGGAAGCAGCCCATGTGTTCATCAACCATTCTGAATGGGTGAACGAAATGTGGTGCATTCATACAAAGCAATATTGGCCTTAAAGAGGAAGGAAATCGTGTCCCACGCTACAACATGGATGGACCTTGGGCACATCATAAGCAAGGCAGAAAAGCATAATTACTGTATGATTCCACTCATATGAGGTCCTAAAGCAGCCAAATCCACAGAGACGGTTGGAGGAGGGTGGGAGCCAGGGGCTGGGGGACGGGGATGCGGCCAGGGGCTAGGATGGGGGGGGGGTGTGGGGAGTGACTGTGTAATGGGGACAGTTCCAGTTTTGCAAGAGGAAAGAGATGGATGGAGATCGTTGAACAACTGAACTGTGCCCCTAAAACTGATTAAGATGGTAAATTTTGTGCTATGTATACTTTGCCATAATTTTTTTAAAGTTCTGCCTTAAAAATTAAGTATTTCCAAGCTATCTGTCACGTATCTAGCAAGAGCTGTGATTCCCATGTGTGCACGGGTCTTTGGGGAATCCTATTGCAGAGCATCATGGTTGACTTGACGTTAATAAAGGATATCCCCCTGTTTCCCACCTGTCCAGCTCATGGTCGCATCAGAAAAACACCCTGTGAACTTGAACTTTCTTCACCAAGAGCTCATCTGTCGTCTGCTTTCCCCCTCCAGGTTCTGAAGCGGCAAGGTTACGATGCAGCATGTGACATCTGGAGCTTGGGGACCCTGCTGTACACCATGCTGGCGGGGTAATGCACACCCTCCCATAGGTGTCAGCGTGCGATGGCATGTGTGCCCGAGACATCATGAGGCAGACATCTCAGGGGCTGTTCCTTCAGCCCAGGGTCAGCCCTGCCCTGGTGCCACGGGCAGGGACGCACACTCACAGGTCCTGGGTAAACACCTCCTGAGCCCTTTCAGGACAACTAAAGAGCGGGGATTAAGAAAGTTGGCCACATGTTTTCTTTAAAATCTATCTCCAGAATTAGGGAACTGGAGCACAGAACTCAGCTCATCAACAAAAACCCAAGCCTCTGACCACCCGTCCACATTCTTCCCGGCACCAGGCCACCCCTCTTAAGGGGTCGCAACAGCTTCTCTTAAAAACATCCTCTTGAGTTAAGAAGCACCCCTAAAGGCTTCGCGGTCAAAGAGCACCTCAAGAAAGGCAGCCAGGTAAAAGCAGGTGACTGACTTGTGTGGCCGCCAGATGAGACAGCCAGCCTTACAGAAGGAGGGTTGGGTCTGCTGTGTGCACATCTGCTTCCAATCCGAGATCTGCCGCTCACCAGCTCTGTTTCTGGCCTGGACTCCTTGACCTTTATTGGCCTCACTTCCCTCACTTTTGAATGAGAAGAGGACACTGTGTGGTATTCAAGGCTTCCAGCCTTAAAGGTCGAGGATCCTAAGAACCCCAGGGGGACCTATGTTTTTAAGTTTATTAAGGATTTGCACAGAAGGAAAAAAGAGCTCTAGACCACCCAGTCCTGCTCACTGTAATAAAATGGACAAAAGGCCCTCATAAGAATGAATGGCAGTAGCCTGTTTTTCCTGTGGCCTCAATGAGGCATCGCATGATAAGTGAGTGACCAGTGTCTGTAGTGAAAGGGGGAGCACATGGGAGCCTGGGGCTGTGCCTTGAGGACCACAGCAGCAGGGAAGGCCTCCCGGACCTTCCTGACATCACACCGTCGGATTGCCCTGCGATTCTTCTGATACTCACGTTGTCTGTACATAAACCTCAGATCACCAACCCGGCCACTAAAGGAAGTGCCGGGAGGATCACATAGAATTCCTTTTCTAGCAGGCGTGTATCAACATGCCCTGGATAATGTTGGGAGCTGATGGAATAATTCACAGTGGGGCAGATGCGGATGGCATCTTCTTTGTGTCCATGTAGATCCCTGTGAGTGTAGTATTCTCCCCATTGTGCAATCTAATCTGAAAACATTAATTTGTCAGAGAACCGGGAGTTGGTAATAGACCAACTATAGGTCTCTCAGACTTCAAATCTCAGGTTCTCCTCCATTATACCACAGTCTCACCATGGAAACCGAATGACTGAGCCAACCATTGAAACACTCGGTCACCAGGGGAGCCAGGAAGGGTCCACGGATGCCCGTGCTTGGGTCCTAGAGTTTTCTACTCTTGCCTTATCGACCTACACCAATGACCAACTTAGGAAGATGGACATAGCATAAGAAATAAGTGACGCTTTCCCATGACTCCTGAATTTGGAGTGTAATGGCAAAGAAAGAGCTATTTTTTTTTAACAACAAAGAGGCAGGGGTGCCTGGGTGGCTCAGTCAGTTAAGCATCTGACTCTTGATCTCACCCATTCTTGCTCTCAGATTTGTGAGTTCAAGCCCCACACTGGGCTCCATGTTAGATGTGGAGCCTACTTAAAAAAAAAAAGCAACAACAACAAAAAGAGGCAGTATCAAGCTGTGAACTTTACTGTAGGTCATAAAATCAGAATTCATACCATGCATTCTCTCATTGCACAGATTTACCCCATTTGCAAATGGACCAGATGATACTCCTGAGGAGATTCTGGCAAGGATTGGCAGTGGGAAGTACGCCCTTTCTGGGGGGAACTGGGACTCAATCTCTGATGCTGCGAAGGTGAGTGTTTTCCAGCACTCTTTCTTCCCAGGTGTGGAGATTCTGTATTAACCATTGTATTTGTGAGGAAGCTAGAGGATACCTTTCATATAAATAACTCAGGTATTTTATCTGATAGTTTTTTTTAGTTTCTCAGTTAAAAAAAAAAAGGGTGGTTTTTTGCAAAAGTCTCTTATAGCACTTTTCACATTTTCTGCTGTCTTGGTGTACTAGGGTTCTCCAGAGAAACAGAATCAATAGGATGTGCATAGATACAGAGAAAGAAAGATTTGTTTTTAAGAATCAGTTCATGAGATTGTGGAGGCTGATAAGTCTAACATCTGCAGAGTAGGTCCATAGACTGCAAACTCAGGGAAGAGTTTGTGTTACAGCTTGAGTCCAAAGCCCATCTGCTGGCAGACTTCCCTTCCCTCGGGAAACCTTGGTCTTTTTTATCTTAAGGCTTTCAATTGATTGGATGAGGCCCACCAACATCATGGAGGGTCATCTGCTTTAGTCCAAGTTGACTGATTTCAATGTTAATCTCATCTAAATAAGACTTTCACAGCAACATCTAGACTGGTATTTGGCCAAACACAGGGGACCATGGCTTAGCCAAGGTGACACATAAAATTAACTATCACAGTTTTAGTGATGTTGCAAACTGAGTGCCCTGAATGATCACAGACTGATCAAGAAGAAGAACTCTGGGATAGAGGTATATTTCTGTTACTTTAAAACTCTTTGCGTTGAGGCTTCCCTGCAGCTTCACTATTTGTGACCAACTTTGTTTAAAGAGACATCAGACTTAGTCTTTTTCAGTTGAGATCATCAATTCCTCTCTAATCAAATAGTCAGTGATAACACCACCACTCAAAAGAAGCAGCTTCAGTCTATTTCCTGTGTTGCCATAAAATGACTGGGAGAGGAGTAGACCATCAGGGTTCTGATACTAGTACTGCCATCATCATCACTGTGTGACCTCATACAGAAATGGCAGAGGGGATGGTGGAGGAGATGGTAGAGAAGATGATGGAGCAGATGGCAGAGGGGATGGTGGAGGTGATGGTAGAAGTGATGATGGAGAAGATGATGGAGGAGGTGGTGGGAGTGATGATGGAGAAGATGATGGAGGAGGTGGTGGAAGTGATGATGGAGGAGGTGGTGGAAGTGATGATGGAGGAGGTGGTGGAAGTGATGATGGAGGAGGTGGTGGAAGGAGATGGTGTGGAGGAGGTGGTGGAAGTGATGATGGAGGAGGTGGTGGAAGTGATGATGGAGGAGGTGGTGGAAGTGATGATGGAGGAGGTGGTGGAAGTGATGACAGAGAAGATGATGGAGGAGATGGTGGACATGATGATGGAGGAGGATGGAGGAGGTGGTGGAAGTGATGATGGAGGAGGTGGTGGAAGTGATGATGGAGGAGGTGGTGGAAGTGATGACGGAGGAGGTGGTGGAAGTGATGACAGAGAAGATGATGGAGGAGATGGTGGACATGATGATGGAGGAGGTGGTGGAAGTGATGACAGAGAAGATGATGGAGGAGGTGGCGGAAGTGATGGAGAAGATGACGGAGGAGGTGGCAGAGACAATGGTGGAGAAGATGGTGGAGGTGACGGTGGAGGTGATGGTAGAAGAGATGGTGCAGGAGATGATGGAGGTGATGGTGGAGAAGATGGTGGAGGAGGTGACAGAGATGATGGTGGAGGAGATGTGGAAGAGAGGACAGAGGGGATGGTGAAGGAGGTGGCAGAGGTGATGATGGAGGTCATGGCAGAGGTGAGGGCAGAGGAGAAGGCAGCGGGCCTTTAGCGAGCACTTCCCGTGTGTCAGACCCTGACGCTCCTGGTGCTCCCATCTACCCACTCTGTCTCAAAGGAGTATAGGCATTGTCTAGTTCTGGTCCCCAAAGTAGACCAGGACTTGGGTGCTGGTGGTTTCTGAGGCGACCTTGGAAGCGGGAATGGGGGGCAGGGAGAAGGTGTCAGGAAAGCAATCAAGTCAAGTACCAGGATTGTTGCAGGCAGAGGGCTTCACTGCCTCCTGGGACCTTGACGACTTCTTCCTGCCCCTTCACCACCATATCTTCTGCCTCATCTGCCCCATGCGTTTTCCCCTCTCTGTGTTCACCAAACATACAACAAAACCTCCAGTTCTCCAAAATCAGACAGAATCTATGGATTTGTGTGTTGTTACAGTGCATCTTGCTGACACTGCATAGAAACACTGCTTTACTATGAGATCTTGAGCAAACAATACAGGTCTCTCTGCTTTCAGTCTTACCCATAGAAATGGGAACAATACTGCTTTAGGAGATACTTGTTTCAAGAAGTTACTAAGATCAGTGTTACCAAATATTAAAAGGCATTTGATTTCTCTATTCAAAAAAGGATATTGGATTAGTCTATAGTATTTCTCTGTTGTGGTTTATGACCAGAAATTCTGTTGAGTACATCATATCATGTACGTATGCTAAGTCCCTTATTTCCCTGTGAAATGCCATGGGAATACCAGAGGAAGGTGAGCAGCCTAGCAGGAAAACACGGATTCTCATCATGGCTCTTCCTTGGACAATTGTTTGATCACTATAAATGTCATCTGCAAAACAGGGACAGTAATATTGGCCCTCATTCCCCCAAGGACGATCCCGATGACTCTCTCTAGAACAGGTGTATCACGCATGCGCAGACAGCCTCATGAATGCCATGCAGAGCCACATCACAGTTGTAATTGTGTGTGCGCACACGCATGTGCGTGTCATGCCATGCGTGAATGTGAAGAGGAGCTTTGTCTTTAAGCCACAGTCATAAGAATCTTTATTGTGATTGTCTTACAGTCACACAAGAAAATCACCCCATGGGACATTAGCCCCTTGGACCCTCGTAATGGCTCCAGATGGACAGTTCTGTGGCTGGTGCTGATTTGTAGCAAATGTTTGTGGACAGTGCTAATAAAAGTGTCACTACATGCATTGTCATAATTGGTTTATGTCTGTGGGACAGTCGTTACCTAGCTTCTCCCTTTGGAAGGATATCATTTTTACTAAAATAGCAGTTCAGTAAATTATATGCACCATTCAACATTTGTACATTTGATTTCTCCTTGCATGTAAAATCTTTAACATGATATAAACCTGAGGTGAGCCACCAAGGTGATGATAATTAAAATTCAAAAATCATTCACGTACTTTTAAGGCTGAAAATAAACATTTGACCCCCAAATGCAGAGAATCAGAACAATGGTGAGGTTTTGCCGTGAGAGGGAATGAAGGAATTTTGCGCAGGAGGCTCTTCGAACAGGCTTCTGTTGTCTTCCCTTATAGGATGTCGTGTCCAAGATGCTCCATGTGGATCCTCATCAGCGCCTGACGGCCGTTCAAGTCCTAAAACACCCATGGATTGTGAACAGAGAGTACCTGTCCCAAAACCAGCTCAGCAGACAAGACGTCCACCTGGTGAAGGTGCGGACAGGGAGTCATGAGAGCAAGATGCTGGGGGTGGGGGGCCCAGGAAAGTTGCCCTGATCCCCCTTAAAATAACCTAAAGAAACCATGGTGTGGGAACCAGATAGCGAGCCAGTAAGAGGCACAAACAGTTATTCCTAATTTACTTTTACACATTTCTTCACGTACAAGCAATCACACACAAAATTCTCAATAAGTTACAACTTCTGTTAACAATCTGGAGCAGCTTCAGTGTGTGTGTGTGTGTGTGTGTGTGTGTGTGTGTGTGTGTGCAGGCACATGCGTACATATGGGACAGAGACAGACACGGAAGGAGAGAGGGAGACAAAGTAGGAGAGACGGACAGACGGATGGGGGTGGAGAGAGGGAGGGAGGGAGAGAGAGGTGGAGGGAGTCATGCATCTGCACCAATCCAAGGTGCCAAAGCCCTCGGTTCTAGAGCAGAGGTCCGCAGACTTCTGTGTAGAGGCCCAGACCGTAAGCATTGTGGGCTTCTGGAGCCAGCTGTCTCTGTCACTCCTCCTCAAATCTCCTGTTGTGGCCCAGAAAGGCCCACCAAGTGGCTGGGTGCAGCTGGGCCTCAGGAAAGGTTGATCCCCGGGAGCGGGGGCGCTGGGCTGGGCCAGAGGGCGCACACCGCGACCATCTCGCTCCATTTTCCTGAGACACTTCCCAGGGCACGTGCCATAGAGCATCCTGACCCCTGGAGGCCCTGACAGAGACACAAGGCTAGGGAGGGAACAAAGGTCAGGACACAACTGGTGTCACTGAGATAGTCTCGTGCCCAGGGATGGAGAGGTTTTCAGCTATAGAACAGCTGCTCATTAAACTGTTGGATCTCGGTAGACCCTTGCCATCCGACGATCCCAGCCTTGCAGTGTCTGACGTTGTGGTACGGCTGTGATCAGAGTCACTGAAGCCAGGCGTCATCAGACCCAACTGCAGCCAGACAATGGCCTCGGGCCACCTCGGTCGTGATACACCCGCACCTGTGGGGCAGTCCACACGGACTGACAGACATCCTGAGGACTGGGGGTCTACACTGCAGGCACAAGCATGTTCTGCCTTGCGTGCTTGGCAGAGGCTGCTTGGAGCTTCCTGGGGAGGACTGAGACCACACCACACCACTCCTGGGTCTCAGGGTCAGTCCTTGGAGGGTAAAGCCCATCTCCTAAGATCCAGCTAGTGTGGTAACATGCTGTAGAGCAGGGGTTGTGTGACCTCATCCTGGGGCTCCCTGCGAGTCTGAAACATCTCAAGTCACACGCACAATCCAAGGCGGGTGTGGGACGGTAATAGAACAGAAGCACCATTATTTAGGAGGACGCAGAGTGTGCTGGACACAGTGAGCTCAGGGCACGCCTGGCCCCGGGGTCCTGCAGGCCCCACTGTGCGTGGGAGAGAACAGCTCGGAGAGGCCCCAGGCCCCCACTCGGGAGTGGGTGGGCACCACAGTCAGCTGCCCTTTCCCTTCTTTCCCAGGGTGCCATGGCCGCCACCTACCTGGCTCTGAACAGAGCTCCGCAGGCCCCGCGGCTGGAGCCCGTGCTGTCGTCCGGCCTGGCTCAGCGCAGGGGCATGAAGAGACTCACGTCCACGAGGCTATAGCGCGAGCAGGCCCTGCCGAGCATCCTGGGCTGTCGGGCGCTGCCTCGGTGCCCACGCCCGACTCGGAAGCCCAGGTGCCTCTGCTCGTTCCATGCTTGCTCGCTCAGCCGGGATCGGATCCAGACCGGTGACCTCCCCACGCCTTGCTGTGCCAGCCTTGCCACCTCTTTACCCCGAGCAAAGCCAGACAGACTCATTTCACCGCACACCACCACGCCCGATGCCTATAGGGTTCCTTCAGACCCCATAGGTCTTTTACGATCATGGCTTATATTTATAGAGAGAGAGGTTTTTTTCCCAATGATAAAGCCAGTAACTGGGTCAGGTTTCCGATACACGCGTCCTAGTGATTCGGGTGGGTGGATGCGCTGACCAGCTTATGGCACAGCCTCCCCGGGAGGGGCTGGCCTCTGCGGTCTGGGGTTGCCGGAAGGACAGGGTCGGCACGTGGCACCCAGAGTAGACGCCAGGTCCCCTCCTAATGATCCAAAGAGCCCTTGTCCCATCGCCCTTCTCTCTGACTGAGGTGCTGGGTGTTCTCTCTGGGTCACGGACCCATTGGGGGAAGAGCTCAGAACCGGCAGGCGGTGTCTTCGCCTGGGGAGCCTCTTTTCACAAGAATGGCACGTACCTGGGGGGGAGCCAGCGGGAGCTTGTGCCCCCTGCCCTGTGTCTTTGTTCCCCCCACGGCCAGGGCTGCAGGGCTGAGGCTCCACGCTCCCGTGCTGGTTCTAGCTGTGGCCAAGGCCGCCCAGGTTCCCAGAGCGCGTTGGGCCTGACGTCTGGCCGCGGCCTTCTGTCAGCCTCCTGTGCTTTCCCAAAGCAGTGGTTTTGCTGTGTTTGCCTTCCCCTCTCTGGTCCGCGGGAGATCCATGAGCCCTGGCAACCCTGAGCTCAGTCCCTCCCTTCGAGGCCTGCTCTCAGTCCCATGCAGCCGGGAGGGGGCCGGGAGGGGAGCCAGAAGGTGGGCCACCAGGGAGCCATGCACTTTGTAGAAACTGTGCTTTTGTGTTGCTTTTGTGTTTCTGTTTTTCACCTGATGTTGCAGTGACATTTAATGTTTCCCTTGGGGTGCGTGCACACAGGAGGGGCGCAGTGCCGAGGGAGGGGGCTGTGCGCCTCTTGTTAAATGAAACCGGGACAGGCTCGGCACCACTGCCCGGGCAGGAGGGGAGAGAGCGTGTGGCCTTCGGCGTCCTCCCACCGGCCCCACCGGGGGTGCCCCCAAGCCGGCCCAAGACTCCCCGCTGCCCTCGCCGGGTGCGGGGCACCTGCGGCCCTCAGCCAGATCTCAATAAGAAGACATATTTCATTGTTCCCTTCATCCCCCATCTCAACCAACTACACCACCTCAAAAAGACAAAAAACAACATGCGGCATTCTGAGTGTAACTCCTTAGCTTGTTCCAGTTGTGTTCAGACCTTAAAATGTAACCTTATTTCAGAAGATTTTATAATTCTGTGAGCCTTTCTCCCCCCTCAGAGAACCACCAGACGTAAAGGCCGGGGAGGGGGGCAGGTTCTTGAACCGGTTTCCCACAAAGCCTCATTAGGCACCTCCCCTATTTTCTTACTAGAAAATGCTTTTCCCCGAGGCCACAAAGGCTTGGTTCACAGTAGTTTTTGTTTTAGGTCTGAATTATTTGATCTATTATTAGAAGTTTAGGAAAAACTGGATAGCCCTTAGGTCACGGGTCTGCCCTCCTAGGAAGGCACCGAGGTCATCACACCTTCCATCTGCCGCCTGGGCCACTGTTCCAGGGTTCCCACGGCCAAGGTGTGCCGCCCGGCGGCCGGGCTGCTCGGGAGAGTCGGAGCTCGGAGAGACGCGGGCGGGAGCAGGCAGTAGCCCAGGAGCGGGCAGGGAGAGGGGACAGCGGGTGCTCCCTGCGCACCACCGCTCCTGCTCGTGCGCTCTCTCGGTGCCACCACGTGCGCAGCCCCACCTGCCACAGCCCGAGAGCCGCAGAGCGACCCGGGGCTCACCTCGCACCAAGTCGTGCCCTTAGCGAAGGCCAGGGTGCGGCGGCGGCGGAGACCCTGCTGGACCAACTCTACTTGAATGTCTGTGAAATACCTCTGCTTTCTCACCTTATCCAGAGCGCGGTGATACTTGAAACCCTTCCAGAAAGTCAGCCTAGAGACGTCCATACCACAGTTTAAACCGAACTCCAAGGTCCAGTGGAGCAGCCAGCGGCTGTGCCTTCTAAGCAGCGGTGGGGCGCGAAGGAAGGGGTTTTCATTTGCGTCCCCTGTGCGGCGCACCCCTACCGGCCCTGAGCAGCTCCGGGGCTTCACACAGGTGGCCAGACCACAGGGAGTCAGATGGCTGCCCCACAGACTGTGGAACCGTGCCCCACCCCCAGATCATAGCCCCACAGACCGCGGAACAGTCCCCTCCCAGATCATAGCCCCACAGACTGCGGAACAGTCCGCCCCCCCCCAGATCATAGCCCCACAGACCATGGAACCATCCCCCCCCCAGATCATAGCCCCACAGACCATGGAACCGTCCGCCCTCTGGATCATAGCCCACAGACTCTTGTGAGAAAACCGAGCCCTGGCCCTCGGCCCTCCTCCCCGACTGCCCCACAGTCCCCCCAGGGAGCCCACTGTGGTCTTGCCCCACCTGCAGGCCCCCTGTTTGACAGGAACACCTGACTGACCCCACCAGAGTGAGGGCTCGGCCAGATGCCGCCCCCAAGTCAAATTTGGGCAAGAGTTGAGATTTCACCTGTATCCTTAGGTCAGATTGTCCGTGATTTTAACATAACTTTGTGTGTTTTGATGCCTGGAAGATTGTCCAGCATTTTAAGTGATAATAGTACTTAATGTTAGCCAGTATTGTTCATTAAATGGTGTTACTCCTAAAGCCGCACGTTGGGACTTTTGCCTCACACTTGACTGATTCTCTCAAGCACATGATGAACTTGATTTGCACTCTTTTTTTCTTTCCAAATGGTTTTGTTGCCCTTCACCTCTCCAAGAGTCCTTAAAATTCTAGAATGGAAAAGGACACTGCAGGTCCCTGGGTGGAGAGAAGACTGGAGGAGTATCCAGCGTGGGTTCGCAGAGCTCGGGAGGAAACCTGGGAGACTCGAACTCGCCACCGCTGGCCGCCCGTGGAGCACGCTTCCAACCAGACCCCGACTCAGCACTTTGTTTACAAGCCCGCATCTGTGTTTACAGGTCATTCTTATGTTCACGCTTTGTATTTTATGTTTGAGATGGGCGGCCACTATACAGATATTTATTACGCTTTCCAGACTTTCTGAATAGATTTTTTTGAATAAACATGGGTTTTATGAAGTGTAATCTTTTTCTAGGATAACAATAATTTTTGGCCTTTCTGTGTGGTTGGCAATAACAGTCTGCAGATAAGTGTCTGGCTCCTCCCATCCCCTCACTCCGTGCTCGGGCTCCTGCCAGACCCTGTGGCTGCAGGGTGGCATCTTCGTAGGGAAGGTGGGACAGTGTGGCCATCCACTCCACACTGAGAGCTGTGTGTGTGGGCCTGCTGGAGCTTCTGCATGCATGTGTGGCTGGCGTGCGAGTGCGTGCACACGTGCATTGTGTAGTGTGTGTATGAACGTGTGTGCGTGCATGCGTGGCTGGTGTGTGAGTGTGTGCACACGTGCATTGTTTAGTGTGTGTATGAACATGTGTGTGTGCGTGCATGTGTGGCTGGCGTGCGAGTGCGTGCACACATGCATTGTACAGTGTATATGAACATGTGTGTACATGCATGTGTACCTTGTGTGTCAGTGTGTGCACATATGTGTTGTGTGGTGTGTGGATGAACATGTGTGTGAGCATGTGCATGCATGGGTGGTGTGTGCACATGTGTCACTATTCATGTGTGCATGTGTGTGGTATGAGCATATTTGTGCATCTGTGGTGTGTGTTGTGTGCCTGTGCATACACACATGTGCAGGTGTGTGTGGTTATATACTCATGTATGTGTGGTGTATCGTGTAGACATGCACATATGTGTATCTGTATGTGGCCTGTGTAGTATGTGTGCACACGTGTGTGCATGTGCCTGTGTGTTGTGTATTTGTGTGTGCCTTGTACAAGCATGTGGTGTATTGTGGCGTCCATGTATGCACGTGTGTGGTATGCATGTGTGTGCCGTGTACATGTGTGCACTCCGCATGGAGCCTGGCCACGTGATGGGATGGGTGCCAGCAGGAGACGGCCGACAGTGTGTCGGTGGTGGAGCAGGTGGCCCGGGGTGGGCTGCTGGAGGCTGTCCCTGCTGTACCTCTTTCTGTGCATGGCCACCTGGCGTCCTCATGCCCACCTCCTCTTTATACAGAAATAAAACAAGAAGCTATGCTCTTCGCCTTCAGCTCTCCAACCTAATTTCTTCTTCCCATTTGGTCAATTCCTGAGCAGCATGTACCCACAAGCAAGACACATACACACGTTCACACTTTTTCTGCCACCACTTTCTGGGCTCTGCTTCCCCAGCAGAGGAGGGAACTTGCTCCCCGAAACCCTTCAGGCTCACCGCACAGGCATGGGTGTTGAAACCCTCAGGGATTCCGGAGCCAACGGGAAACACGTGAACATTCTGCCCCTGGCTACAGCGGGGGGTGCCCCGAACACACCCACAGCCAGCCGCGCCCCATCCCCTGTGTGACAGACCCCGTGGCACAGACCTGCTGGGGTGAGATGGCCGTCCCTTAGGCCACAGCTCTGGAGGTCAGAAGTCCCAGGTGGGTGTTGCAGGCTAAAGTCAAGGTGTCGGCGGGACTGCATTCTTGGGGGCTTTCGGGGACAGTCAGAGCCCTGCCTTCCCCCGGGGCCTGGAGGCCCTGCTTTCCTGGGCTCCTGGCTCTTCCGCCAGACTCAGAGCCAGCTGCAGGGGGCCGAGCCCCACGTTCTCAGCTCACGCACCCCCCACACCTCCTCTTCCACTGTTGAGAACCCTTGTGGTGACACTGGCCCACCTAGATGCCCCAGGATACTCTCCCTATTTCAGGGTCAGCTGATTAGCAGCCTGAACCTCACCTCTATGTCACTCATGGGTTCTGGAGACCAGAATTTGAGAGCCCATTCTTCTGTCTAGCACACCACACAGAGCGAGTGTCGATCTGCTTACAGTCTTCAGGCTGCGTGTTTGGGTGGGCGAAGATTTGGACAGTTTGCTAACATGTCAGCCTGGCACAGTCTTGTGCGTGCGGACGAAGACACGACGCTCGAGGTCAGAGCCCACAGCAAACAGCACAGCCCCAGGCGCACCCCTGCTCCCCTTGCCCTCAGGTCTCCCAGGGTGACAGAGAATGCATGAACAACAGGCTGGGTCACAGCTGGTCAACCC